TGAATGTTGTTTGCCCAGAAAAAATAATACATTCTTTCCACGTACTGGACCCGGTCTTGGATGGCAGGATTGAACAAGTCAAGCTTCCCAAATAAACGCATGTTGCTAGAAATAATTATCCAACTCAAAAGATGACTGTTGCAAGTGAATTTTCTTCAGGATCTTACTATTTTCTCTTGTCACCACTGAAATAACTGCACAGAGGCCTGTATCCTGTCATTAAGTCACCCTTCATTTACATGTGCACAGTACATGGCCTCTGACCAGACAGATCAGAGCCAGTCCCTAGAATGAGGAAACTCTGAATCTGCTGCTTATATCTGTCAGCCAGGGCTCCCTCATTGGGGTTATCAACCTGGGCCTATCAAGGATCTCATAGTCAATTATATCCACCTGGCCCTTGTTTCAATCACTACAATATGTAACTTTTGTTATACGTAACAGCATCATACTGTGAGCTCAACCAAAAATCCTAAATTGGTTGTCAGCTTGATTCCATGCACAAATCAGTTTATCCAGCAAATAATATTCAATTGCCAAGTCACATCTAATGTTAGACACTGTTACGAGACTTGCAAGCGCAGGCTGGTTGGGTGTGGTCAGTACCGCACTTGTTGTAAACAGCCAAGCAGATATGCTGTTTGATATAATGCACCAGTCCTTGGAATGTACAGCCTACATACCTAGAATCACACCAGCATTGAAATTCATACGCGATACCATACATTTATATTATAAGCACAATGTCGTTTTGGTTTGATATTAGCATCCTGTTAGTGGTGAATGCTACATGTGTCACAACTGCATAGTAGCAGTGTGAAATGGCTAACTTCACTTGTTGCTCAAATGTTTGAGATACATTACTCTTAAGCTTTGACAAATGCTTTTAATTATCACAAATTGGGGAACAATATGGCACAATGTATTTATAATCCTATTTTTACTTCTAGGATCAAGACCATACCAATTAAGATTAATGAGTTTAAAGCTTTCACAGTCACTCATTACTGTCCTCTATGAAGTACAGTTATGCAGTCTTCACTAGGTCCTTAGTGGGCGCAGCACTAACATGAAATAATTTAGAAGCAACATTAAAATGGTTCTGAGGAAGGGTCACCGGACCCGAAAAGTTAACTCTGTTTTTTCCTTCACAGATGCTGCCAGACCTGCTGAGCTTTTCCAGCAATTTCTGTTTTGTTTCCATCAAAATGGTTAACCTTGTTTATAGCATATGGTCTGTTGGTGCAACCGTTAAAACTTCAAGATAAGCTCTTCATTTCAGGCCCGGGCTGAAGCATATTTTGTGTTTCTCCCATTCTCACTGCACCATTGTGTTGTGGCTCCTTTCCATCTTGTAAGATGATTGAGTTGATCACCACAGGGCAAAGTGTCTTAGGCAGTGCCCTGTGGGGCATGGGAGCCCCATTTAGCATGGCAGTCTCTGTCACATTTGCTGCAAATTAGGCTGAGAAGGGATACTGTACGCTAGCCCTATTTTTTCTGGGCCCTCGTTTCTACAAGTTGAAGTTTTCTTTTCCCTTGCCTCTTCCAATGTTGTTCCAAATAGTTAGCCTCCAGAGGTCCATACATGACTGTCTTCAAATTTTCAGTGTCAATGTCCACCATCTTTATCTCTCATTTTCAGATGTCCTTAGGGCAGAAGTATATACGCCCAAGAAGTAGCGACCATTTAACTATATATAAGGCCTACAGGTATACAGCCATCATTCATCTAATAAATGTGGCCAAGTGAATGGCAGATATTGTTGGCACGAGTGTTCAATATAGACATTTGGTAGCTAAAATAAAAATGTTGCACTTCCAAGCAATATTTGCACTTTAATTACTAAAATTTGGCAAACAAAGAAATTTTCAGTAAGAATGCTTATGATATTAATGCTTAAACAAATATTCAGAGATAGGCTTCTAATAATAATACATTAATCTGACTGTTCAAAGGTTATCAACACAGTCAAGCACCAGGAGGAGCTAATGTGGGTTAACTACCAAATGAAACAAAATAAAAATGAAATAAGCAATGGATAGCCTTCTAAATGCATCGGGATTTTCGAAACACATCCCTAATTAAAACACCATGACTAATAATATACACAAAGAGCAGTTTTGAAATACATCCACAGTATAGTCAGATGCTAATTTTGCCTTTAAGAAAACATGTTTCTATGCACATCCATTAATGGTTTAATTAATCATTGCTTATTGGATGACTTTTTTTAATTAACCTATTTTCCTAATCAACCTATTAATACACACTTCTGGAACAGGTGGGACTTGAACCTGGGCCTCCTGGTCCAGGGGTAGGGACTACATGAATGTCAGTAGTTCAGTCTCAATCAATGGATGGGAATCAAAGTTTCTCATTCAGATTCGGAGTAAGGCAGGGCTGCCCACTCTCTCCTACCTTGTTTGTATGTTGTATAGAGCCTTTTGCGGGTCCATCAGTAAGGAGGGGGGTGACTATTCCAGGCAGTGGAAGCCTGCAGGTCAAAGCCTCCCTGTACATGGATGACTTCGCCATTTACTGCTCAGATCCGCTGTCAGTGCACAGACACACTAGCATCTGCGACCAGTTTGAACTGGCCTTGGGAGCCAAGTGAAATCAAGGCAAGAGTGAGGCCATGTTGTTTGGGATCTGGGCCAACTGATCCTTTATCACCCTTGCCAACAGATTTTCTGAAGGTGTTGAGAATACGATTCAGAGGGGCTAGGGCCCTTGGATAAAACTTGGGAGGAGCGCATTGTCAAGGTGAGCCAGAAACTGAGCTTTTGGGGGCATTTTTTCCTCTCCATTGCAGGTAAAAACCTGGTCATCAGGTGTGAGACCCTCTCTCTGTTGTCCACAGCGCAGGTCTGGCCCATCCCAGAACCTACACTGCTGCAGTCACCCGAGCCATCTTCCACCTCATCTGGAGGTCTAAGATGGACCATGTCTGCAGGACCACCATGTTCAAAGCTCTGGATGTGGTGGGAGGGGTTCTGTACAAAATCAAACTGCTCTAGTGATTGTGTATGTATATAAAGATTTTTTATAAATAAAGTATATTTTTGAAATAAAAAGAAAAGAGTAGCAAAGTGGAGAGGTCCCAGAAGTAGCCAGACAGTCAGCAGACCTGCTTCAACAAAACTGAAGTGTGATACCACTGGAGACCAGGTAGGTAACTCGTGATTATTTCTCTCTGGAATTTTCTTTCTTATTTTTGTTGGGTGTGGGTGTTGCTGGCTGGCCAGTATTTACTGCCTGTCCCTACATGTCCTTGAGAAGGTAATGCTGAGCTGCCTTCTTGAACCACTGCAGTCCACAATGCCATTAGGGAGGGAATTCCAGGATTTTCACCCAGCGACAGTAAAGGAATGCCAATATATTTCCAAGTCAGGAAGGTGAGTAGCTTGGAGGGGAACATGAAGGTGGTGGTGTTCCCATATATCTGCTGCCCTTGTCCTTCTAGATGGAAGTGGACATGGGTTTGGAAGGTGCTGTCTGAGGACCTTTGGTGAATTTCTGCAGTGCATCTTGTAGATGGTACACACTGCGGCTACTGAGCGTCGGTGGTGGAGGGAGTGGATGTTTGTGGATGCAGTGCCATTCAAGCAGGCTGCTTTGTCCCGGATAGTATCAAGCTTCTTGAGTGTTGTTGGGGGTGCACACTCCTGACTTGTGCCTTGTAGGTGGAGGACAGACTTTGGAGAGTCAGGAAGTGAGTTACTCATCGCAGTATTCCTAGCCTCTGATCTGATCTTGTAGCCCCTGCATTTATCTGGTGAGTCTAGTTGAGTTTCTGATCAATGATAACTCCAAGGATATAGAGAGTGGAGGATTCAGTGATGGTAACATTGAATGTCAAGGGACAGTGATTAGATTGTCTCTTGTTGGTGATGTTCATAGCCTGGCATTTGTGTGGCACGAATGTTACTCACCACTTGTTAGCCCAAGCCTGGATATTGATTAGATCTTATTGCATTTGGACATAGACTGCTTGAAAGAAATTAAGACTTTAGACTATTAACTCTGCTTTCCAAATTTTCCCCATACCTCTGCCTTTCTGTCTCCCAAATGTCTGATTTTCTTGGGCTTGTTTTCTGCAGAGCTGACTAGTGTAGATGTTATTTTCCTTCTTTACAATGAATATTGTGCCCTCTACCTTTGATTCTGCAGCATCTTGATCTCTTACCTCCCATGCCCTGTAGTCTTCCCAGACCATCCCTTCTGTTCCACTTGCTGTTCCCTATTTTTTTCCTCCACAGTATCAAACTTATCAATTTGCCAGTCCTCTCTTCAGTTTCAAAGAAGAGTCATCTTGGACTCAACATTAGTTCTGTTTTCTCTCTCTACAGCTGCCAGGTCTGCTCGGTTTCTCTATTTATTTTGATTTCAGTTCTCCAGCTTCTGTGGTATTTTGCTTTAGTGACAAAATATTCAATACTAAAGGGAATACAGTAACAGAGTGGGCATATGTGCATATGTCACTGAAGGTGATAGGGCAGGTTGAGAAAAAAGGTTAATGTGACATATAGCAACCTGGCTTTTATAAGTAAAAGCATTAAGTACCGAAAGAAAGTTATGATAAACCTGCGTAAAACACTAGTTTGATCTACTGTCTCTAATTCTGGGCACCCCACTTTAGGAAGGTTCTGAAGTCATTAGGAAGGCGGCAGAAAATATTCAAGAGAGTCATTCCAGGTATTAGGAATAAATTTACAGATAAATAGAATCAGAATGGATCTGGATAGACTAGATATGAAGAAACTGTTCCACAGGTGGAAGAATCAAGAATCAAATGGTACCAATTTAAATTGATTGGTGAAAAGAAGCAATGGCAACAAGGAAAGCTTTTGTATACAGCAAATATTTCTGGAATGCACTGCCTGAGATTGTTGTGGAGGCAGATTTGATTGTGGCTTTCAAAGATAATTGGACAATTATATGAAAACAAATAGAAATTGCACAACAGGGCAAACATGGATCAGTGATTTTAGCTTACCTTATATGCTATACTATTTGAAGAGTCCACAATTAGAAATAACGGTTTTCGTGTGAAAGGGAAAAAATCACCAGGATGAAGACTAAAGA